CTTTTCCTGCCTCCACTTCAAGTTGCATAAATATTATTAGTTAAAAAATAAATGTAGCAAAAAAGTATTTTTAAAAATCAGGAATATGTATGAAAATTGCCACCTGTTCAGAGATTCTTGGGGATATTACTACAGGAAAAAATGAGTTTCATTCCTACCCCCCCCAAAGAATTTAATATAAGCTAGATTATTTTAGGACCTTACTCTAGGAATTTAGATATAGATACAGCAAAAAGCTATTTTAAGACTTTTTTTTTTTTTTGCCTGGACTCTGATAGTGCTAAAGCAAAAGCCAGATGTGGTAGACAGAGTGGAGGTCTCCCCAAGATGTCCTAATCCCTGGAACCGGTGGGCATGCTACCTTGCATGACAAAACAGACTTTGCAGATGTGATAGTATACTCTAAGCCTTAGAGTCTAAGGAGCTTGATGGGGAGATTATCAATGTGTCACATGGGTCCTTATGGGAGAAAAGAGGGAAGCAGAAAACAGAGGGGAGCAGGGGAGAGAGAGATAGAGAGATTTGATTGGAGATGCACCTGCTGGCCTTAAACGTGGTGCCAATGAATACAGGTGGCCTAGAGAAGTTGGAAAGACCAAGGAAGTGAATTCTCTGCTAAAGCCCCAGAGGAACACAACTCTGCTGGCCCATCTTGGACTTCTGATCTTCAGAGCTACTAAATTTCTGTTTTCTAAGCCATTAAATTGATGGTAATTTGTTATAGCAGCCTAGGAACTGATACACCAGGGTTTTACCTGAAGCAGCCAGAAGCAACCGTATAACATTATGGCAGGGACACAGGAACAATGACCTCAGTGCAGCCAAGGTTGCAACCAGTGTTCTACTTCTTCATTTTCCTAAAATAAAATATGCAGTATAGGTCATTTATGTGGCTGCCTTCCCCTGCTCTGGGCTGTTCTGGATTCCCAGACTCAGCGGTGATGGTCAGCACTACCCCACAACCCTTGGGAAGCTACCGGTGTTTAGGAAGAGCACTTTTTTCCTTGTTATACCTGTTTTCCAAGAATTTTTGTATTGTGCCTTTTACAGGATAATTTCCATAATTGGACATTTGTATGGCAGTTTACAATGTCATAAGCAGTGGTGTGCTAGCACTGCTTTTATTGAACTGCAAGAACTGATTGATAAATTTTTAGGAATTTGCAAGTTGGTTGTTAAATAGTCATTATTAAGTATCTAATCTAATTAAAGACAAACATGCAAATTGATTGCACCTTTGCTATGCCTTAAGCCACGCCCACCCGACA